TGGGGTCTTTATGTGTACCTGTGACGTCCTATTCCTGTGTTACTACCTGTATGCGTGTGCGTATGTGTACACTTACTTATACATCGGAGAGTGCTTACATGAATTTGTGTATATGTATAGCCAAGTGTGTGTGCGTAAATGTACATGTACATCAAGGTGCATGTGCGTGTGAGTATGTATGTATACACCCAAACGCGCGTGTGTGTGTGCATGAGTATATGTACATCCAAGCTTGTGTCCGTGTGCGCATGTGTACCTGCACATCCGAGCGTGTATACGTGTGCGTGATTGTGCGTCCGAGCGTGCTTGCGTGTACATTTGAGTGCATCTCCTCGTGTGATTGATCCTGAGCGCGTCCTTTGGGCTCTGTGGTCCGCGCGCCGCTACTCAATTGCCCCCCCCCCCCCCTCACCCACCCTCTTGTCTTACTCCCCTCTTCTTGGTCCTTCCGCCCCCCCCCTTCCTTCCTTCCCTCCTCGACGCAACTTTGACTCTCTGCGTCACTGGTTTGTTTCAAAAAGTATCTCCCCTCCCGCCCCCCCCCCCCACCCCACCACCGCTATTCCCCTCCCGCAGTCCTCGGCCTCTTCCTTCCCCCCTCTCCTCCCCCATAAACCTTTTTCTTGGAAATTAACTCCTTCTCCCCTTACTCTTTCTCTCCCTTCGCTCCCCTCCTTCCTCTCCTCTCACTTCACTGCACCTCCCCCACTTTCCTCCCAAAGTGCTCTTCCTCCTCTCACGACTCTCCTCCTCTAGCTTCCCCTCCCCTCCTCTCTTCCTCTCCCCCCTCTTCCCCAAACTTCAGGTTACTAACTCCCTTCCTTTCTCTTCCCAACTCCCCTTCCCCCATCCCCCTTCTCCTCCCCAACTCCCCTTCCTCTTCCCCAACCTCCTCCTCCCCCCTCCTTTCCCCAACTCCCTCCCCTTCCCTCCTCCTCCTCCTCCAACTCCTCCGAAACTCCTCTTCCTCCCCCCCATCTTCCCCTTCCTCCTCCCCAACTCCCCTTCCTTCCTCCTCCCCCACCTCTCCTTCTTCCTCCCAACTCCGCTTCCTCTTCCTCCAAACTCCCTCTCCCCTTTTCACCCCCTCCACCTACCCCCTCTAGCCTCCCCTCCCCCATGAGCTCTTCGCTTTTCTCTCCCTTAAATTGGCGATTCAGGTCATGGTGAGAGAGTGAGGGGAGGGAAGGGGAGAGGGGAGGGAGAGGGGAAGGGGAGAAGACTAGAGTTTTTTTCAAGTTTTTTCTCTTTGAAAGAAATACGCGAAGATTAATTCCGTTCGCAGTCTGAGCGAGTCTTGGCTTGATTCTTTCTTTCCCCCCCTTCCCCTCCCCTCCTCTTCTCCTTCCCCTACCCTTCTTTCCCCTTCCCTCCCCTCCTCTTCAACTCCCTCCCCTCCCTTCCTCCTCTTCCCCCCTCCTCTTCCCTCCTCTTCCTCCCTTCACTCTCCCCTCCTCTTCCCTTCCCTCCCCCTCCTCTTCCCTCCCCTCCTTTTCCCCTTCCTCTCCCTCCTCTTCCTCCCTCTTCCCGCCCTCTCTTCCCCTTCCCTCCCCCTCTTCCCCTTCACCTACCCTTCCTTTTCCCCTTCCCTGAGCCTCCTCCTTCCCTGCCCCTTCCCCTCCGTTTTTTTTTTTTTTCTTCCCTTTTTCTTCCCCTTCACTCCTATTTCTCTTTCCCCACCCTTCCTCTCTCCCCCCTTCCCCTCCGTCTTTTTTTCCTTCCCT